AGACATGCTGGCAACACCCCAACCAGTGATGTAACAGCAGGTGTTTTCCCTTCCATCATCTGCTCCTGACTACTCTCACTGTGTGACTTCACTAACTAGCACGTGGCCATATGTGCAGCTTGCTCAACAGGTTATCTCGTATCATACAGCTCTCATTTTCGCTGAAACAACCTGCAGCTCTTTGAGCTTAGGACCCATGTCAATTGAGACAGTGAGAATTTTTAGAGGTGAGACAAGCTGGACAATCACAAAAACAATACAGAGAATAAAAATATGACATTTTTTAAGTACCTTTCCACTGCAGCAATGCTGGGTAGGTCTGACGTGCCCTATAATAAATATTATAATAGAAATAAGAAGAATATTTATGTTAAATATCCTTTTTAAAGCCAGCCTTCCAAAAACCCTTACAAAAACATTCAGTGTAAACAATATTTCAGACTCGAAGGATAAATTACAATTAAAATATCAATATAAAATTTAAAAACCAGCCACTACAAGTCTTGAGTTCAACAACAACAATATAATTAAGTGTGACTCAACAGTTAAGATTAAAAATCTATAATAAGTAATCTAAAAATGTAAAAATTGGGAAATTGATTTTCTTTTTAAATGACATAAATCCTTAACAGTGATTTAAATGTAACAATTCTGCAACTATTTTGACAAATGAAAAAAAATTATACCAACTGCTGGAACTGAGACATTATTGTTCATTCTTGTTGTTTACATTGTTGATCATTTTGCTTTTAGCATAGGTTTAACCAATCAGCGTCAAGCCCCACACAGCAGCTTTTCAGGGCCGATCAGATATACCTACTGCGAAACAAGTACTGTGTTCTGATATGTCCCTGAAGAACGGGCAGTTCCTGCAGTTTGACACACTACCTTAAAGCTCGCTGCAAGTTCCTACAGTAGAAAACATTTACATTTTAACTGACACTTGAATTATGAACCCGCAGCCCTTTGCTGTACGTCTTCCCCCACTTTCATATTGTCATTGCTTCACTATCCAAAAGAATTATCTTAGAAAAGAACAAAAGCATAAATAAATACTGTGCTGTAATTAATATACAATATGCAGACTAATTTGAGCATTGTGAAAACCTCATGTGGGAATAATTTTCTAATCAGCTACAGAGAGATCTTTTTGTAACCGCCTCATAGTATAATCACATATTTTAGTGCCTGTATGTGATACCATAATCAACCAAGAAATAATAGCAGTAATGACCTAACCTACTATTAGCATGCCTATCTTTTCCTCCGTTTTTGCAACTTAACCTTTACTATGTTTTACTATTAAAGGAAAAACTGGATCTTACGCTGGATCATTCAACGAGCCCATATAAACACAACTTAGAAAGACTTTGTGTTGTATTACACTGACCTTTTTACATGACTTTCTTTTGTATTTTATTTAGATTGTTCCTTACTGAGTGCTTTTTTAAAATTTTGCTTATTGAGCTTCTTATTGCATTATATGCAACAATGCATGGTAAGAAAAGTCTAACCATGTTCAGCTCTCTAACACGGCGAATCATGAAGCTGTTTCAGTGCGGCTGGAACACGTTCGTTTTCTTTTCAATTCTGATCTTCACTGGTTTGTTGGTTTGTTTGTTTAAATATGAAAACTACCCAGCATCTCAGCTCAAAGTACATGACACCCTTCTTGCTCTCAGCAGAGAACTTCAATCTTCAGTTCACTTCACTGTTGCAAACTTAGCAACTTTGCAAAAAAAAAATCTATGGCACTCTTGCTTTAGCTGGGAAAGAGCCACACCTCCTCCTGTAAAGTCCAGTGGCTGTATAGGTACACTGCTTGTAACTTTCTGAGTAATCGTAGCAGAGCTGATATTTTTAACTTTCTTTATGATATTCTCAGACGCCCCCTTCTTGCTCAACTGCTCACTCTTGGTCACCTCAGCTCAAAAAAAAAAAAAAAAAAAAAATGCTATGCGGGGTAGCCCTAGTTCTGAGTTTAGTTTTACAAATCAATGTTGAGTCTAGCTATTTTAAAAACACAGCACATGTGCCTGTTATAGTGCAGCAAACACTCAGCTGTATGACACTCAAGTGTATTTTTGAAGCTTCAGTTGTGCGGTAAAAGGCCTTTTCAGCTCTCTGAGTCATCTTTTTAAGGTGCAGCTTGCTTTCCTCTCCACGAGAGCGCCCTCTCTTTGCTTCTCTTTCCCTCTTACTAGTTTTGATCTTGATCCGTTTTATATTGTTGGTCCGAGTTACAAACAAACCCCAAACAAAACAAAACACAGACTAGAGTCTTAAAGCAAAGAACTTCACCCCTGAGTCACCTCTCTTTAAACAGGCAGTCAGGTCACGCAGGAGACAAACACAGATTGCTGGTGTGTGTGTGTGTGAGTGTGGATGTTTGTGATAACATATGCACAGTAAGCGCCTATAAGGCTGACTCGTGTGCACAGAGGGCAGACTGTTTCCCACCCCTGTGCTGGAAAAGCAAATCACATAGAGAGTCCTCCTAAAATACACTGTGCCATTCAAAGCAGAAACGAACTCTTGTCAGCAGCCATGCAAGCACATACGACCAAACACTCACCTGCATTTAAAGCCATTTCACCGCTTTAACAGATTTTTATGGAAACAGGCAGCTCAGTCGATGCATGCTATAAGCCATATCCTGCTGGCAGAGGAAGCAAACTCAGCAGCATCTATTGGTAGCTAGTTGTAATCGAACACCTAAGTGCCATTTAAGCAGAATCCATGCATCTTAATGTGTATTTTTTTTCTATCCCAGCAGAACCCTTAATTAATAATCTGCCAGTCAATTTCTCTGTTAATCACTTTATTGTTTAAAAAAACAAAATTAGAAAAGGAAAGGTGACATCTTTAATCCCTGTCCAGATATAAAGTGATTCACTTTTTGCATATGACTTTTAGCCCACTGGTTGTCATTGGGAACATTCCAGGCTTTATAGGTAGCCCTCTAAAGCCGCAGACACACTCTAGAGATTGTTCAAGAAATCTCTAGCAACCTGAAATCCTCATGACCTCTAGGAAAGTGCTAAATGACAGAAATTCAAAGTGGTTTCCTGAGTTTCTCACTTAAAAGATGGAAAAAAATTAGAGTTTAAAGTTTAGATCCATCCCTTCTGAATCAACGATGGTTATTTCAAGCTGCTAAAATTCATTTACATTCCTGGTTTCTGGTCGCCATATCGCTGCTCATCTTTTCCTGTGTGGACATCCTTTAACACTCTTTCCCTTTTGCAAAAGCCTGATCATGTTAATTCACAATCTCAAGAAAATGCAGTAAATTGTGACAATTCTGAAGGATGTCTGCAAAGACGTATTTTGCTCTTCCTTATTTTCTTCTATGTATTGATACTTTTGAATGGTGGTGCTCTTCCTAAAAGTTGTTTCTATGAGCCCAAAGCTCAGGTTTCAGACAGTTTTTTTCTATTCTTTGCTCTGTCGGATGTCAGTAAGCGAATTCAGGCACATAGCTCTAAGCTAAAAGCACAGAAGCTCCACCCACCTGCCATTCAAACCTTCTGTTTGTGAGGGGCAGCCAATTAGAAGAAAGATGGCTTAAAGGAAAAAATGAAGGGAGCTAAAAAAGTTAATTCTGACACTGGATGAACTGAAGGGCTGAACAAAGGCTCACTACAAGATCAATGGGGATTATTTTAAATCATGCAAAGCTACTCTAATACAATCCAAGTCTACGATAAGGAACAATAGGTGCACAAAATTCAAACATGATCAAGTCTAACCAGCAAAAGTTGACATTAAATAGGATCTAATCAATGCAGAGAAGTGTCATTCTTTCCAGATGATTTCCCATCAGTGCTTTAGCTCTACATGCAGCAATTAACACATGCCTTTTTAACTGATTCTAGAAAAACAGCCCTGAGGATACTTCATTGTCCTTTTGGTGACCAAAGGTTTAAAACTGTCTCCTCCTTGGAGCTTTGTTTAGGTAACAGAGACTGCAAAAAGGTCCAGAGATTCACTTAAAAGAAGAGTTTAGTCCAGGTTTGAAATCATTGCACCGTCTTTGTACCACAAACGTTATACACACTAAAGACACCAGCTGTCAAAGTAGGGGGATGGGTGACTCATCTCCCCTCCCTCTCCCTCACACAAGCACACACACCACTTTCTTGCATCTCTGCCTCACATTTACAACCACCAACACGTAAAAGCAAAACAACAGCATGACCTTGAGAGTTAAAAGTGCAACACAGGCCTCTTTCTAGCAGCAGTATCATGGTGTCTTCAGGGACTATTTGGGTCTGCACAGCCACACCGAGGCTTCAGGGCCTTTGAGCATCCTGGATGCTGAGGGGAAGGATGCTAAAGTGTCCGGATGCGGCGGTCTTTATGTGCATGAGCCAAGAGTACATAAAGAAAGGGCTCATACAACTGAGCCAAGAAGCTAAATCCAAAGTAATCTCTGACATTAAAATATGTCGATGCAAAGGTTTGAGCTAAAGCTTAAATAACAGGGTTTAAAGCCGAAAAAGCAGAGCCTCCATGTTGGCTGGCACCGCCTTTGCATCATCCTAGCCCCCTGGCTTCCAGAGAGTAAAATTAAAATATGAACGTAAAAAATAATATATGTGTTTTTCTCTTTGGAGATCCAATGGCAAAGTAAATCTTTTGGAAGATGTTTCTGCACGCAAAGGAGGACTATGAAGGGAGGAGGAAGAGGCGAGGAAACGACTCTGTGCTGCATCTGTCAGCTGCACCCATTTCAGCTGTTCATCCAAGGTTACATGTAAACACCTAAACACGAGATTTAAGCGGTTTCAACCCCGTTTTCATTCATTTGCAGCCGCGGACACAGAGCCTGCACATTCCCCGAGGTGCAAAAATCAAACTTTCAGCGTTTTGTTCGTCGGGCGAACAAAACGCTATAAAGCTATTTTTCCTAGAGGGTGAAGCCACGATTCGGACATTTATTTAGCGGACCGGCTACAAAAAGCAGGCACCTACACAAAGCTACACACTCGCGTTACCTTTGTGTACAGCTCCTCCGACGCTGCCATGACGGTCACTCGCTATGTCCTTCCTCCAATCTGGGCTGAAAGTCCGGCAGGTCTCCGCGCTGCTCGGGGCTCAGCGTGTGTTTTCATGTAGCGGGAAAGCAAAGCGTTTGTTGCCACGGAGACTCAGGGGGAAGACGTGCCTCTTATCGCCATGATAACCCAACAGGCTCCAGGCTGCCGAGGTTTCGCTGTCTCTCACTTTGCATTCTGGGTATGATGATGGATAAAATGATTCAGCCAAACGGAGGAAAACTGCTGCCGCGTGGGAAACGGCGCCCCCTAATGGTCAAGGCTTTATACTACACATAAAGGAACGCAGGAAAGAAAAGGAAAGGAAACACTCGAATAATTTGCACAATGCAGAACTCCAGTTTCTTTTTTAAAATAATGTTTTTTATTGCATCTCGTGGTGTATGACGTTTTGAGCACACCAGCTCTTCATCAGACAATGAAACACAGGACAGAGCCACGTTAAATCACCTGTGATAGTTCACAAGACCAATGGCAATAATATCCAGTCAGAATCACGACTTATATAGGACAGATAACTGATAAATAATCTACATGTAGTGTGTACTACCCTAGCGTGAGTCAGAAAAATCAGTGCCTAAGAAGACAAGTAAGGAAACAGTAAGTGATCTCTCCACACACCCAGCAGCCAACATCAGGGATATATATAATATAATGGCATTGATGCAATTGGTTAGGCAGATATAAAACCTACTCATGTTCAGTGCATTTATTGCATCCAGCAATGCAGGCACCTCTTTGAGTTTTCATACACTTGGTGACAATGCCTCCTTAATGGTATATATTTGTGTTTCATTTTCATAATTGTATATACAGTGGGGCAAAAAAGTATTTAGTCAGCCACCGATTGTGCAAGTTCCCCCACTTAAAATGATGACAGAGGTCAGTAATTTGCACCAGAGGTACACTTCAACTGTGAGAGACAGAATGTGAAAAAAAAATCCATGAATCCACATGGTAGGATTTGTAAAGAATTTATTCGTAAATCAGGGTGGAAAATAAGTATTTGGTCAATAACAAAAATACAACTCAATACTTTGTAACATAACCTTTGTTGGCAATAACAGAGGTCAAACGTTTACTATAGGTCTTTACCAGGTTTGCACACACAGTAGCTGGTATTTTGGCCCATTCCTCCATGCAGATCTTCTCGGGAGCAGTGATGTTTTGGGGCTGTCGCCGAGCAACACGGACTTTCAACTCCCGCCACAGATTTTCTATGGGGTTGAGGTCTGGAGACTGGCTAGGCCACTCCAGGACTTTCAAATGCTTCTTACGGAGCCACTCCTTTGTTGCCCGGGCGGTGTGTTTTGGATCATTGTCATGTTGGAAGACCCAGCCTCGTTTCATCTTCAAAGTTCTCACTGATGGAAGGAGGTTTTGGCTCAAAATCTCACGATACATGGCCCCATTCATTCTGTCCTTAACACGGATCAGTCGTCCTGTCCCCTTGGCAGAAAAACAGCCCCATAGCATGATGTTTCCACCCCCATGCTTCACAGTAGGTATGGTGTTCTTGGGATGCAACTCAGTATTCTTCTTCCTCCAAACACGACGAGTTGAGTTTATACCAAAAAGTTCTACTTTGGTTTCATCTGACCACATGACATTCTCCCAATCCTCTGCTGTATCATCCATGTGCTCTCTGGCAAACTTCAGACGGGCCTGGACATGCACTGGCTTCAGCAGCGGAACACGTCTGGCACTGCGGGATTTGATTCCCTGCCGTTGTAGTGTGTTACTGATGGTGACCTTTGTTACTTTGGTCCCAGCTCTCTGCAGGTCATTCACCAGGTCCCCCCGTGTGGTTCTGGGATCTTTGCTCACCGTTCTCATGATCATTTTGACCCCACGGGATGAGATCTTGCGTGGAGCCCCAGATCGAGGGAGATTATCAGTGGTCTTGTATGTCTTCCATTTTCTGATGATTGCTCCCACAGTTGATTTTTTTCACACCAAGCTGCTTGCCTATTGTAGATTCACTCTTCCCAGTCTGGTGCAGGTCTACAATACTTTTCCTGGTGTCCTTCGAAAGCTCTTTGGTCTTGGCCATGGCGGAGTTTGGAGTCTGACTGTTTGAGGCTGTGGACAGGTGTCTTTATACAGATGATGAGTTCAAACAGGTGCCATTCATACAGGTAACGCGTGGGGGACAGAAAAGCTTCTTACAGAAGACGTTACAGGTCTGTGAGAGCCAGAGATTTTCCTTGTTTGAGGTGTCCAAATACTTATTTTCCACCCTAATTTACGAATAAATTCTTTACAAATCCTACCATGTGGATTCATGGATTTTTTTTTCACATTCTGTCTCTCACAGTTGAAGTGTACCTCTGGTGCAAATTACTGACCTCTGTCATCATTTAAGTGGGGGAACTTGCACAATCGGTGCCTGACTAAATACTTTTTTGCCCCACTATACATATAGCAAAAACCTTAGGTGACATATTCTGGTTAACTAAGTGAGTCATATATTATTTGTGAATTGTCGATGTAAAAGGACTGGAAATTAAAAATAGTTGTATCTTTACAGCACGTCACTGTCAAGGTCTGTATTGTGTCATTGTTAAATTGCATTGTCCCTATTAAAATAATTTTGATCATAATGATGATTAAAAAAACATTCTCTGTCAGTAAAATACATTTTCTGCAGTGACTGTGATGTATAATGCTAACCACACAAGGTGGCTGTTGTGTCACTCACTCTGTTGATGTGATAAAACCCGCTGTGCACACCCTGTAAGGGTGAGGTGAATACTAAGTTTGATGTACAGTTGTGCTCATAAGTTTACATACCCTGGAAGAATTTGTGATTTTTGGCCATTTTTCAAAGAATAGGAATTATATTACAAAAACTTTTCTTTCACTCGTGGCCAGTGGTTGTGTTTGCGCTTTTTAAATCAAAATAATGACACAAACTACCCAAATGACACTGATCAAAAGTTTACATACCCTCGAAGTTTTGGCATGATAACACACACACACAAGTTGACACAAAGAGGTTTAAATGACTACTAAAGGTAACCCTCCTCACCTGTGATCTGTTTACTTGTAGTGTGTGTGTGTGTGTGTGTGTGTGTGTGTGCGTGCGTGCGTGCGTGCGTGCGTGTGTGTATAAAAAATCAGAGAACAAAATGGTTGCAAAGTGCTTAGAAGTAATGCAAAGAAAAGACTTGGTCTGAGTCTGCGTGTGAAGAAGCTATTTGTAAGTCTGGAGGTGTGGGACCTGATTGACCAGAGGCCAGTGGGCCAAACAGGTGGTGAGAGGGGTACAAGGGGTCACCTGTGATGGCCCTGGTTTTTCTGAGATAAGAGTATGTGGTGATGGTCTCAGAGGGGTACCCGCTGCACAGCCTTCCTGTTCTTAGTAGTGGCCCCTGTACCAAACACCCAGCCAATCGGAGAGCCCGCTGTCCACTGAGGAGCGCTAGAAGGTCAGCAGCAGGTCCAGTTTATCCGGTCCAGTTTATTCTTCCTTAGGGCATCGAGGAAGTGCAGCCACTGCTAGGTTGGGTTGGTGTGCAGTTATAGGTGTACAGGGTGTACAGTAGGGGGCTGGGAATGCAGCTCTGCGGGGATCCGGTGCTGGAACTAGGGTATGTAAACTTTTGGTAGGGTATGTAAATTTCTGATCAGTGTCATTCTGATTTGAAAAGGGCAAACACAACGACTGACCACGAGTAAAAGAAACGTTTTTGTATTGTCATTCATATTCTCTGAAAAATGGCCAAAAATCACAAATTCTGCCAGGGCACAACTGGAATGACAACAAATATGAAAAGTGGGGCTGAAATTTAACAACAGATGAGTTTAGACATCTGTTAGATCAGAATCTAATATTTAAAATTCACATTGAAAACTGTGTTAATATTAATAATATACTAATATTAACACTTATGCATGCATGTGTGTGCTTCCTTCCTCCTTATCATCATCATAAATGCATGAAAACCACAAATGCTCTCTTGGCTGTTATAATATTTTACACATTTGTCCCCAGAGTTGGCACAAACTGAAGGCTCAAGAAACTGGCTTGAGATGATTTGATCTTTGCGACAATGTGTGTTATCCTGCTGTACACTGTGTGTATCCTCTGACATGGTCAGCAACAATACTCAGGTAGGCTGTGTTGTTTAAAACCACCCATGAGTGGCACCTGGTGTACTTTTTTTGCTGCTGTAGCTAATCTGCTTCAAAGATTCGACATGTTGTGTCCAGAGATGCTCTTCTGCGTACCTTGGTTGTAATGAGTGATTATTTTAGCTTCTGTTACTTTCCTATTAGTTCCAAGCAGTCTGGCCATTCTCCTCTGATCACTGGCATCAACAAGCCACTTTCACCCAGAGAACTGCTGTTCACTGAATATTTTCTTTATTTTTTTCAGACAATTCTCGGTTAACTCTAGAGATGGTTGTATGGAAAAATCTCAGTACATCCGCATTTTCTGAAATAGTCAGATGAGACCATCTAACTGTCATAAGTCCATTAAATCACCTTTCCCCCCCTCATTCCGATGTTTGAAATCCAGCAGGCTGTCTTTACCATGTCTTAATACCCAAATGCAATGAGTTTCTGCCATGTGATTGATTAAATATTTGTCTTACCGAAGAGTTGAACCAGTGTATAATTCATATTCATCTTCACATGACATTGTATTGTAATTAGTTTTAAGTATTTAGCTCCTTTTTGTTCTACCAAGCTGTTCTTGTATTCTTCACCCCATTGATGTATTCATTCTGTTGTATTTTAATGACAGCCCAGGCTCCATTTTGTTTGGAGTTTTTTGGCCCTGGTTAGGTCTCCCAAGGCAAATTAGTCCTGAGTGAGGAAATGGAAAAGAGAACAAGGGACCAGCTTACCCTGACTGGGATAGGGCTACCTAGGCCTCACCCTGGAGTCAGGAATGGGAGGGAGCTTAAGGGAGAGCACTTAGGCCTTAACCCATGTAGGCCACCTGGAATTGCCCTTAATGAGAGGCGGTGGGCAAGGGTGGGTATCCTTGTATCCCTATTGCTTGCTGTATGCACCCTGGGGGGTTTCGCCCATGGATGAGGGGGTTGCTTACCTGTGCCAGTGACTGGGTTTGTGCCTATGGACCGAATGATATTTTAGAGAACACAGCCTTCTGGGAGTGACGGGGTGTGGCTCTTGAGTGTCCTCCATTTAGTGACTTTGTCATCCTACTGGTGGACTTGAATGCTTACAGGGGAAACGACACTGAGACCTGGTGGGGCGTGACTGGGAGGAACGGTCTGCCTAATGTTCTGTTCGAACACCATGTTCGAACAGAAGGGTGCCCCTAAGTGCACATGACACCAGGACACCCTGGTTGCATGTCGAGGGTGGATTTTGTAACAGTATCATCAGATCTGCAAGTATATCTTCTGGACACTTGGGTGAAGAGAGGAACTGAGCTGTCAACTTATCACCACCTAGTGGCGAGTTGGACAAATCTGGCGTGCCTAAACATTTAGGCTCCTCTGCTTGTGTGACCATATTCCAAGGTAAGCAGAAGAAAATGGATGCTTGAATATTTATTCTTATTTAAAGCTGTACTTAAATTATGGCTCCTGGAACACAGAAATATTCTAACTTCTAGAAAATAAACTATTTTAAATCTTACTATGTAAACATTAGATTTACCATGTAAACATTAGCAATCTGAAAGCACCTTAAATACATCGTAGGTCTTTAAAGATTACACAAAAGTATTGTGCAAAACTACTTTATTTACAAAACAAAATGGCACAATGTGACAGCAGGGCAGCCATGTACATGCACAACTTGGACAGATGTCCTAGCTTTGATTTATCACACCACAAGTAAATTGCATCTGGCCAGTAAAAACTTCTGGAAAAGCACTATGCAGGGCTAAAGATAAAACTACTTTAAGTCATGATTACACAAGATTATTTCCCCAAAACTTACACTATTTGTTCCTTGTTTTTGTCCACCAATGTATACAGCATAAAGACTGGTCCCTCTGAAGGATTTTACCCTTCAGGTCCTGTATCCCCTCTAACCCTTTAAAACCTGATTCATTCATGATGACTCCATCCTTAGGAGAGGACTGTGTCGGCATATAAAATGGAGCAGCACACAGTGTAAACTTAAAAACACTGCATTTTGCTCTTTTAAGAAGAGGATCTATTTCTGACACTTCTTGAAGGAACTACCTGCTACCAGCATTTGAGCCGCACCCAAGCTTTTTAGCATCTCTTTTAAACATCTGCTCAGTGCACCTTGATGAATAAAAATGCGGTATGTGAAGCTTCACCTTCGGGAGCCCAGCATCACACATGCAGTTCAAAGTGACACCCCAGCCTTTACTGCAAGGTCCTTTAATGCAGACACAATCATAGTGTTAATAAAATGGAACTTGGCCTCTGAATTACTATATTCAATCATTCAAGCATATTGACAGCATAATTTAGAGTAAGGTCATACAGTGAATAATACAAATCTGATGTAAAACATTCTGCCCCTGTGCCAGACAAATATATATCAGATACATACACACACACACACACACAATCATAATCTCCAGACTGAACACCACACTAAATCCCCCCCGTGCCCAAACCTCACAAGATGCAAGCTTCTGCTGCTCGCCCCTCACTTCAGCTCGTAAACAGTCATATCTGCTGTCCATCCATTGTTCAGAGGCATCACAGACCGTTTCTTCAGTGTACATGGACAAACATGGAGGTAAAGACAAGACATGAAGGAAATGTAGGAGGACAATAACAGAGGAAAGGATGTGGTGGCAGTAGAGAAAAAGCCAAAGGGTGGGTTGAAACAAAAAAGAGGATTTGACATGGTTGACCTGGAGGTGTGGAATCCAGTTGGGTGGGGCCCAGGCCAGTGTGGAGAGGGTGGAGTGATAAAGTGAGACATAGGAGAGGTAATATTAAATCTCTGAGACTTAAGTGGAGAGGATTAGGGGCTGGGAGGTGCTGAGGGGGCCATCTGAGGCTGCGTGTACATCAGCCTGCCAGTTTACTGGCCACAAGAGAGGGTTTCCTCTGGGGCAGGTCCTGGGGGGTGGGGATGTGGTCCCCTGTGATCTCGGTCTTCTCTGGTGCAGCTGTTGGCAGCTGTTTGTTCTTTATCTTTGCTTTTGCCATGTTGTAGTCACCAGAGTCAAAGTACTTTTGCTGCAGAAAAACAGAAGATTCAAATTAAACAAAAGTGGCACCAATGAAAATAGACACCAATTTAAAAATGTCTAATTTTTTAAATGTCAGAGTAAATCCCACAAACTGCGATCTACAGGGTGGGCCATTTACACCGTAATAAAATGGGAATGGTTGGTGATATTAAAGTCCTGTTTGTGGCACATTAGTATATGTGAGGGGGCAAACTCCTCAAGATGGGTGGTGACCATGGTGGCCATTTAAAAGTCGGCCATCTTAGATACAACTTTTGTTTTTTCAATAGGAAGAGGGCCAAGTGACACATCAAACTTACTGGTAATGTCACAAGAAAAACAATGGTGTGCTTGGTTTCAACGTAACTTTATTCTTTCATGAGTTATTTACAAGTTTCTCTTTGTTCACAGCCATTGACATGTCGAAGAGGTTAACACGTGAGGAGCGGATTGAAATTGTGTCGATATCTGGTGAACGCAGTAACCGGGTCATTGCAGCAGATTTCAATGCAAGACACCCTGCGAGACCACCAATCTCACATGCTACAGTTAGCAAACTGCTTGCTAAGTTTCGTGAAACTGGTTCAGTGTTGGATTTGCCAAAATGTGGTCGCAAGAAAACTGTCACTAATGAAGAAACATCAGTGGCTGTCCTAGCTTCATTCAGCAAGAGCCCACAGCGTAGCACTCGCCGCATGTCGCTGGAGAGTGGCATTAGTCGAACATCTCTTCGGCGGATATTAGCTACTCACAAATGGCACCCTTAACAACTCCAGCTACTGCAGCATCTCAATGAGTTTGAGTCTAAGGTTTATTTTTTAGCACCTGGCGGCTCTTTTTTTACTTCTCATCTGTAAATAATCTGCTCTTTCACGTGATTGTTTATTTTGAAAAGTCTCAGTATATGGGGTACAATGATAGTGGGTCCATTCTTCATCAATGGAAACCTCAAGGCCACTGGATATTTGAAATTGCTACATGATGATGTGTTTCCCTCTTTATGCACTGAAGCTGGCACGTTCCCTGAGTTTTTCCAGTAAGATGGTGCACCACCACATTATGGGTGCCAGGCATTCCTAGATGAACAGTTTCCTGGAAAGTGGATTGGTCGTCGTGGGCCAGTTGAATGGCCCCCAAGGTCTCCCGATCTGACCCCCTTAGACTTTTATCTTTGGGGTCATCTGTAGGCAATTGTCTATGGTGTGAAGATACGAGATGTGCAGCACCTGAAACTACGGATATTGGATGCCTGTGCTGGCATTTCTCCTGCGGTGTTGCTATCAGTGTGTGAAGAGTGGGAGAAGAGGGTTGCATTGACAATCCAACACAATGGGCAGCAAATTGAACACATTTTATAAGTGGTCAGAAACTTGTAAATAACTCATGAAAGAATAAAGTTACATTGAAACCAAGCACACCATTGTTATTCTTGTCACATTACCAGTAAGTTTGATGTGTCACATGGCCCTCTTCCTATTGAAAAGACAAAAGTTGTATCTAAGATGGCCGACTTCTAAATGGCCACCATGGTCACCACCCATCTTGAGGAGTTTGCCCCTCACATATACTAATGTGCCACAAACAGGACTTTAATATCACCAACCATTCCCATTTTATTACGGTGTATCTATATAAATGGCCCACCCTGTAGATCAAAAAGGTACACTCCTGAGATTTTATTAAGGAATTTTAACCAGGTCTTTCTTTTTTCTTATTGACAACTGGTGGAGGCTTTCTGTGGTCTCTCAGGGTATCACACAGGAAATATAAATGCCAAATTGCCAAGACAAACTTTCCTCAGAGAGGACCATGCAAACACTGAAAGAAAAACATCCACTATGAGAAATACACACAGTATAACATTAGAACACATACACTCAGTAACAATCTTGATCAGCAAATTAAATGCAAAAACTAGAAAAAGAAAAAACTAGTGTCACCCAGGTAAGGAAATCCCAAAAAGTTGATTCTGTTCATCTGGACATAGCGCTTTAAGTGGGAGAAAAGTTTCATCACTCATCCAAGTGACTTCTTCAGTTTCAGCTGACTGCAGGTTTCCCCACCCTTATAAACAGTACTTCTGCACAATGACTGAAACTAGCATCACTTGCGAATAATAATTTTAGGGAACATCAGTTTTTCAAAAAGAAATTACTGCAGCAGGTAATTTCTTGTGAGAAGTACAAGAAAAATATTTATTTATTTAAAGAAAATTAATCTTGGTTAGTGTATTATTATCACAACAAACATGATTACTAAAATGTTCTAAAAGAGAATGGAAAATTTCCTGGAAGCTGACCACACAGGTTAAATCATGCTGTGATATATTATTAAGCCCTTCAGCAGATATTAGATGGTCTTCTACTGACAGGTGATTACTTTTAAAAAGTCAAGTAATTATTACGGTGCCAATCGCAAGTTATTTAAACCTAAACCTATTTTCGATTCTCTGCTGTCCCAGATTTTACAACATGACAGAAGCAGAAAATCCTTAAATTGCATCCACAATCAAAGTTGATTTTACCGAGACTGAACTGTTTTCTATGGAAGACAATTCTGGAAATATACTCATTTTATAAGTTAAAAAAACCAAAGAAAAATAAAACAGAAACCCCCCAATATGTGTCAGTTTCTCAGTTTAATTTCCTGATAAACTGGGCTGGACATATTTCTCTATTAACTATGTCCAACACCAATAACTTGCTAGTCAGGACCGTGTAGCGCACCTATATAAAATAGCAAAAGCTTCAAGGACAATCCTAAAGTGAACCCTTTATGTTTTGAAGACAAACACATGAGATTACTCACCCCTTTCTGAAGGCGTTTCCGAAGTAAATCCGACCCTCCGGGTTTATTTCCCAAATTTGGATATCTTGCTTTCAGTTTAGCCTCTTCTGCCTTCTCGGGGCTGATCGTCTTTTCCTGAACCTCCTGTAAACAAACAGAAGCATAAGATTAGATTAATCAGCTCTCGGTCAGCTGGTAGCTCCAGACAGCACCACACTTACACAGACGTTTAAGCCCGTAAAACTATGAATAAAACCTATCTAATGACGTTTGAAGGCTGCTTATTGAACAACTTTACTGAATACGTTGGTGGCAAAGGGTGGTCCTCCATGGAAAAGCGTTTAAATTCACCGCTCCCGCTAAACAAGCTAGACAGAAGCATTAGCATATCCTACTAGCTAGTAATGTGTAGGTTGGACCACCGGTTGGGATACTCGTTTCTGTTTTAAAAAAATAAAATAAAAATCACGCTATCAATAGCCAGGCTGGCAAGACAGTTAATTAGACAGGCCCTGATTTAGCACTTCTAGTTTAAAGAGAACTGTCACTGTGCTGAATGAGCTAAGCTAATTTTTTTTAGCAGCTAAGCTAATAGACGCTTTGAATGTCACGTCAGCTAGCGTCAAAACACTTCCAGCTGAAAGACAAAGCGCGAATTACTACGTAATAGAAGATCGTTAGGATACCCGACGAACAATATTAATCTACCTGGGTCTCGGTAGCTAGTTGTGATTTATATGTCAACAACGAAATAGAGGAAGAGGAGAAGCTAAGCTACAGTGTTAGGTTACCACGAAGCAACCGTCCCCGGGGCTCGTGAGGAAAAGCCCGCGTTTACCTTCTCTTCCACCGGCGTCTCCTCAGCTGTCTGAGTCTCTTCGTTATCCCCCGACATGTTTAAACAGTTGTGATTTTTGTCAGGAGACCGCTCACCAGCCGAACAAGTGTTCCACAAATCCCCCGCTCGCGTGTTGCTCGCCCGATTCGACTCTGACTCACCGAACCCAACCGAGAGCTGCCGAGCGCTCACTCCCTCACACAATACTACGTCACATGCGGAGACACCACGCGCGCTCCCGCCATGCACACGCACCGGGTACGGAGTTCAGATTTAGGTTGCATAATGACACAAAGATCAGCTGGGTCCATGTGCTGTGTCACAAATCCAGATCTCAGAAAATAATCCGCAGATCTGGAGGATGGAGAGCTCGGCACCGCTTAATGCTGGCCGATTTATTTTCCGTTTCCTCACTACATCTCATTGCACAAAACCAAGAGGAATACAGCTATACAAAATAAAGTGTTTTCTTTTTATACCCACCCCCAGAGTAATTTGTTTTTCCTTCTGATTAAAAAAAAAAAAAAAAAAAAAGAGCCAAATATGAGCACGTGCAGCGTAAACGAATAATGTTTCAGAACCCATTTGTCATTTTTTAGAAATGTATTGACATGTTTAATGAACCAGTTTGAAATGATTTGAGCTTTTGTGACATGATGCGTTATGCTGCTGGAAGCCGCCATTAGAATATGAGTACACTGGCCATAAAGGGATGACACGATCAGCAGCAATCAACACGTTGGATGTGGGATTTAGCTCAGATCATGCTAAGGGCCCCCACAGTGTGCCAAGAAACAAGTTTAAACTAGTCTACTTGAACAAGTGTACTTGCATTACTTCTTAAACCCTTTTACTTAAAATCAATGATATTCACACTACCCCTTCAAAAGGATCTTATTGTATCAAAAGTAAAACTTTTCTAGTCATCTCCAATCATTGTATTGACAACAAAGAGGATCCTTCAAGCTGTAAACGACCAGTCATTTAATCTTTGTTATGATACCTCAGATTCCAGAAATCTATCATTTTAAAGGCAAAATACCTGGAAATACCTTGCATGGTGGATCCGGTGGTTATGTAAGCTGGAAGTCATGTCAAGTCATTCTTTCAACAAGTTAATTAAAAGAATTTGGTGCAATCCATTTATTATTTGGCTCTATATCTATCTATAGATAGATATATAGATATCTATATATGTCCCTATAAGCTGCACGCACGCAGCTTATAGGCAACATTGCTCTTAACATCAAGTTTTCACAGATGCCATTCACAATTTCCTTTCCTCTTTCTCAGACACACACTGAAGGACAACAGACCACAGGCCTAGACCCTGACAGTGCCCAACAGGTGTGTGTCAGATACAATACAAGCCCCCAGTTTCTTAATAAAAAATATGAAAAATTATGTAATTTTCTAAATAAAGTCCTCCAATATAGGAAACTATTCAGTTGGTTTGATTTTCAAAATAAAAGCCCTGGAAACAGTATAAAAGTTGATCAGGATTCTCTAAAATTTAACTTTTTAAGAAAAGAAAAAGTTTTCATCAGAAATGTACGATTTTCAAAAACATCGCAGTTATTTATTTTATAAATTTGGTTAAGTTTAGCCTATTCTCAGTTTTACAAATTGAGAGACTGATAAAAAAAAAAAACTGAAATATCTGAAATGCATTTGGGGTGTATGGTAACAAAGACTCACTGTTTTGAACCGGAGAAAAACAAAACGAAACAAATTTCTGTAATTACATAAAGCAATTTAACTTGTGTTTAAACTTTCACTTACACCTCAGATATACCGTTTTTACTCTCATTGTGATTAAAATGGTTCATGTGCATATACTTTTACTGATTACAGCCTAATATACAAGGAATGCTTGTGACTCATCCCAAAGAGTGCGCTATGCTGTCTGTGTTTGAAAAACATCAACAATGTACTAAAAACAAGGGCTGTCAGTAACAGATCTCAACACATGTATTTATAGTGTTGTTTTGCACCAGGATGAGTCAGTGACTACTGGCCAATGTTTAAAAAAAAAAAAAAATGTGTGGGGGTGTGACAGCTGAAAATCAGCTATCACACCCCACACATCATTCTTGCCATTCCCACGTTCTCTTATGCACCTTTTATCTTGCATTTAGCAGAAAACCAGTTACTGTTTGCACATAAAGACGGAGGTGAGCATCAAGACACATCAAAAGGCAGAACAGGAAACATAGTGTGAGAATTAAAACCACAAAGAGACACAGCAGATTCCAAATTGCTTTAGAAGATATATAGATATATTTTTTCAGATTTGAATATTAATGTCAAAAATACATACTATGATATACAGTTTGCACTACATCATCTTAGCATGGCAGACGTCACAAGTAATAACTGAAATATTTAAATATTAAATAAACCGATGGTAAGTAAACTGAAAGTGAATGTGTAAACACTAAACTAAGGTTATTCTTTCTATTGCAACACTTCCAATAAAGTGGTTTTGTAACAGTACAAAAGTATTAGAATATTTCTATTTTCTGTTTCATTTCCAGTTACATTGAGAAAAAAAAATCCACAGTGCACTTCTGATGTTCTGCTGTGATGCTTTCACGTAAGTCTATCTTGATTGCTCGTTCGACTGTTTTTTTTTGTTGTTGCTGTTTTGTTTTTTTTCTTTCAGTGGTCCATGGTATATGTTGCATCGCAGTTTGCCATAGGGTTCTTCATCTATATGCACAACCTCTGCTCCGAGCTCAGGAATCACAGAGAGAAAACTGAGTACACGTTCAGCTGGGTCAATCTAATCTTGAAAAATTTAAAATCGGAATCGTTTATTATTAAAAGGCCATCACATTCAATTAGAAACAAATTATTTCTTATTTCACACTCAATAGGTCCAATTAACATTTCGATTTAACGCCTCGACTCTTTTCAAATAAATTTTTTGTCTAACTTTATGTGTGTCTACTCTCCTGCAAGACGCTGGAGGGGATACACACAATAGAAGGTAAGCATGTTACCCATGAAATCTGTTAAACACATATTGACCAGGAGTACAACATTAGAAATACATCCTAAAACCGAAACTTTTGACTCAGCCACTCTGCTCCAAAGCTGTAAGCTTAACAGAGAACAAGCTTTTATTTCTGATGAGTCTCCTAGGATCTCAGCTTGCTGCCCCCTTTGCCAGTTTTGGATGACAGGGGATGAAACATAAGTTTGTGGAGACAGACCATGAGAGGCTTTTGACTCTGGTCCTTAAACCTCGTCTCTTTTCAAATGGACTAACGGTCTGAGTCTGTCGCTGGCATCAAGTTGTGACTAATGTTTCAGTAGTGGCCTGCCGGGTGGAGGAGGGAGGGCTTCAGGCCTCAGCAGCGGGAAGAGTACGGCGGGTCAACAGGGGACTCTGTGAAGGACTGGAGCTCGTAGGCAGCACCGCTGTCCACCTCCATGGACTTCCTGGAAAACAGCAGGCGGATGTCCCTATGGAGGTAGATCTTCCCAGACTTAGAGCTCTGGAACCTGGTAGAGGTTGGGAGAGGGAGAAAAGCATGAAATGACAGGCCAAAAGCATGAAAATGGGAGTATAAACATGGGTGCTGCTGGATATGCTCCACTTTGAGTGTTCAGACAAAAATAACAGCCATCTCACCTCAGGTGAATGAGGTAGCGCAAGGTTCGTCCCTGGCCCAGGGCGAGGGGTTTCCTGCTGGTCTGATTGTTTGTGTCACGACGGACGGGAACAGAGAAGGTCCTCTGGCGTAAGAAGGTCTGGTGTCCAGCTGGCATGGCTCGTAGGTCGTACATCACAACAAACATCTTTACCACTGTCTTGTTAGGGTTGAATAAGGTCTGAGGGGTTTAACCGGAGAGCATGGCAGGGTTAAAACCATTTTAAAGTCAGGCTTTGTAATAAGTTTTAACACTGTCTTTCATTTAACTATAGCAAATATTTTTTTACACTTTACATGCTGTGATCAAGATACATAATATGACTATTCCTCTATACCTACAATCCCAACAATGTAATCCGAGTATTAAGGAGATAAGAGCTTTCTGCACTATAAATGAAACAAAACAGCCTTGAACAGGTCCCTGTATGTTTAATGATGCAGTTTCCTCTACATCCACAAGGAGTCTCCATTCACTTTTGTTACTTCCTGTAATCTGCTCTTTGTTCTCAGCCACGCTGTGATGTAGCTATATTTTGAAAACATGTCTACTGTCAACTGTGAAAGAAAATCCTCACCACTTGAATGGTTCCTGATGGAGGTACACGATAGCCCCTTTTTCCCAGGGACTCCAGGTTTATCACACCCTGCCAGAAAACACATGGCAATCAAAAACAGGCAAACAGAAGTAACACACATGAGCTAATATGGTTTTATCTCTAGGCTTAGGGGGCTTTATTATTAATTTATAGAAAAAGAAATTTTACCATATATGGTGAGGGAGCGTTGTCATCAGAGACACTATAGAATGACACATCTGCAGGTAAGGTAAGGTGACTGGGGCAGAAGGATCCGCTGGCGCCGACCTCTGCTGTGAAACCCTCCACTGTCCCTAAAGGCTCCAGGCGGTAGTTCAGCACACACTCCTAATGGGACATAAGTTCAGCTTTAAAAATGTCACTCTTACTTTTCTACAGGTTGACACAGTTTTGGTTTTCACTTGAAAGTTTTAAAATCAGGACTTGTTAGACCATGTTTCACAGCTATGTTTTCATTTTTCTTTAAAAAAAAAAGTACAACCTGCAGTATGGTGGTTGCTCGAGGTTAAATCCCTTTGAGAATGTGACAGTTTAGGGATCCAAAAAGGAGAATCGGACTTGAGCTAATGTCAAAAACGATAGCTGAAGAGAACAGATGATTCTGTGTTTGTGTGCTATACCTCAAAGTTTCCCAGCAGACTGGCAGGTGGAGCACTAGCACTGAACAGCTGCTGTGACTCATCAGTGTACCCCTCTCTCTTTAGACACACCCTGTAGTAAAAAAACACATGCTGGATCAACACGTTTTTAAATGCGTTATGTAAATTAGGGCTGCTCAATTAATCGAATTTTAATCACGATTACGATCTGGGCTTTCAACGATCATTAAAAATGACTGAGCCGATTATTAGCCCCTCCCTCATTTATCCGCGACACCTTAAAGGCCGGTCCGTGAAAATATTGTCGGGCATAAACCGGTCCGTGGCGCAAAAAAGGTTGGAGACCGCTGATTAAGAGGACCCGAGGGAAGCTCGGAAAGCTAAGCAGAAGTTATTTGGAGAGGAGACTGACTGCTG